GGAATAATTATAGGATAGGGGGGGACAAAAAAAGAGGGAGGTGGGGGAAGGGGGGTTGAAAGGGGAGGAAAAAAAAAAAAGTTTTTGGGAGTAGAAGGATTTTTTGGGAAAACAAAAAGGGGAAAGAAGGAAAAAAAGGGGAGGGGGGGGGGGGGGGGGGGGGGAGGGGGGTGGCCTTTGTCTCGCTTTTTTTTGTGACGTAGATCCTTTCGCCGCTACTCCAACAAACACGCGACAAGAACAGCAGCAAATAACCAACCTGCTGGAGACGTAGGCAGGGATGCTCCGCAAGTCCGGGGTGAGTGTACCAACCCCGAAGTCGCAAAAGGGGATGTCGAAAAGGTTGGGGACCATGACATTGTACGTCTCGAAGCCGGGAGGCCACAGCTCCAGGTACTGGTCACAACGAGGAGTGACGCCTGGGCCAACAGCAGGGGAGAAAACGGGACGCGCTTGCACTTGATTAAAAAAAAAACTCGTACTGCATACTATCTTGCTCCGAGGCAAACACGCGCACCATAGAGTACTATCCAGGCGGTCGTTTTCTTCCCACTCACGGCAATGATTTTTTCAACGGCATAATTTTATCCGCTACTTCATCTATCTATCTCTACCGTAGGATGTGACACAAGATAACACACCTCCTGGACCGATTTTCAAAGTTCGATTACTCCAGATGAAGAGGATGCATAGACGAAAGGATTGTACGTTTTCAGAGAGCTCTCCACCAGACGGCTTCAACGCCGCCGTTTTCGGCCCTGAGACTTGCTGTTGCTGCTGTTGAAAATCGAGCTTTGAAAATCGGTTCAGGGGGTGTGTTATCTTGTGTCATATATATTCGGTACTACATGTACATTTACCTACCGATGACGGGTAATGGGCTGAGCAAGGCTGAGTAGGTAGAGGCCCCGTCTCGTCGACTGTAGATACAGTACCAGCAAAGTGCGAATCAGGGGTTCGAGTCCATGCCTAATTTTTATTTTCTGTGCAGTATTAGCTTTGTACATACACCACTCGGAGTGCCTCAAGTACAACATTTTTCATATTTTCACATCGAGCTGTTCGACGTGGTAGATAATAAAACATGATAATCACTTGTGAACGTTACCAAACAAACGGATAATAACTGTCGGAGAAAAGGCGCCTTTTTGTTCGGGCGCTTTATTTACCATTTTTTTACCGCCTCCGCCAAAATCTTCACGCCGAAAAACGCAAATACAGCACAGCAGTCTTATCGCCCAAAGAATATAAACCTGCGCGCATATGATATTCAAGTTGTTGTTGTCTTCGCATAAAAAACGTTCCGATCTCTATACCAAGTACCACATCTATCTGTCCGCACTTCATGGTCGAACACTTGCCGACGCGGTCGATTCCCGCGGACACAGGCTAACTTACCTAAAAAAAGGTGGTACACTACATCTGTCCTATGCATACAATCAAAGAGAGACTACTGTAAATACCCGTTCGAGATCAAACCACAACATCATTGACATCTTTGGCGGCATCATGACGGTGGCAACGAACAGACCTTATTTTAGGCTGGAAAAGGCGGCTAAAAAGACGGAAAACTACGGAAAACGGCCCGAGTCACGTCCGGGTGTAAAAAACTCCAAAATCCTGACTGCTTTAGAAAAAGTCTTTCCGTGTTGCGGAACACACTTGACATATTTCAAACTCGAGATTCCTGGATTATTTGACTGGATTGTCGGGATTCCCGGGAATTTGAGTTTGAAATACCGCGCGGAGATTCCCGAACCATGGGTCGGGAATTCCGGCTTGATCTTTTTTCCCGAATAAATATTCAGAGGGGTGTTTTGGCCCGATTACAAATTTATTCAGGAAGGATCTTTACCTTTTTGTACCTCCGCCCGTGACAGAAGGGATGGACAGCTCGCACGACGGTAACAACCGCACGGACACCGACTGCTACCACTCGAACAGCTACCACCGTGCAAGCTTGCTAGCCAGCGCGGCTTCTACCTCGGAGGCTGTTCCACCCCTCCGTCCTCCTGCTTGAGATATATCACAGATGGTGCATCACTCCTCGTCTATATGCATTCAACACGCTCTTCTACTACAGCACATCAGCAGCAAAAAACACCGCAACTAATCTCGGTCAGACGCAAAGAACGGCAGAGGACGGACATACAACCTAGACCCGCACCCCCAGAGCTTTGACACCGCGCACACGCAAGTATAACATGTTGGTATGCATAGCTTCATGAATCTCTCATCCAGGTATGCATCAATCCTCTGCTGTCGTCGCTCAAGAATCGGTTGTGGTGTGTTTTTTCTTTGCAAAGGCTCTTCTCAGCTTGGTGACATAAGTATGCATACATCATAACCATCGACCGTGAGACTGCCCTCCTGGAAGGTGCATGGTTAAATAACTGGGGCATGAGTGGGCGTGCGTGTCTGGTGTGTGTGCTTTGTGTTGGCAGCGAGCCGTAGCTGTCTGTTGATGTGTTCATCATCCTGTTCATCATGCATGCATGCGATATTTCAGCCAGCTGCCCTGCCCAGCCGGAGAGAGGGAAAATAGCATCTCGCTGCGTGGTGTCGCTCTGCCTCTCTCTTGACACACATCCCAACCACATACGAAGTCTCAACACAGGAGTGCATATTCTTTCAACATAGTTCGCTGACAGCAGCGTAGCAGTTATGAAAGTCTCCCGTCTCTCCAAGTTGGCCTCTCTGTGCAACGTACTGCTGTATACTGCTGCAGCGTAGTACATATGTGTGGCAGCAAGGTGTGCACACTGGACGGAGTTTCGGATTACACGTCATCTTTTGGTGGAACAGCCATATATCAAGGCCTCCCCGTTCATAGAAGATGGATTTCCACGGAGATTCCTGAACCATGGTTCGGGACGAAAATAGCCAAATAAATATCAAGGAACCGGGAACGCGAGTTTGAAATATGTCAACTGATGGTCTTACATACATACCGTATATGACACAAGATAACACACCCCCTTGGCCGATTTTCAAAGCTCGATTTCTCAACAGCAGGAAGAGTCACAGCGCCGAAAACGGCGGCGTTGGAACCGTCTCGTTGAGAGCTGTTCGAAAACGTATTGTTTCATTTATGCATCCTCTTCGTCGTGGAGTAATCGAGCTTTGAAAATCGGTCCAGGGGGGTGTGTTATCTTGTGTCATATACGGTAGTTTGACGTACCAACCTGTGTACAATATGGGACAGGAGGAGAATAACACAGCCGTATGCACCGGTTGATCTAGGCGCACGCGCTATTCGTACAGACCAGCAGCGCGGGCACGGAGCGGGAAATATATGCTCTCCCCCACCCGCCCTCGCCCATTGCCGTTGCCCACCAAAAAAAACTTACGTCACGAAACAAAACCAACAGACAAGGAAGTGTTGAATTGAATGAAGTCCGTTGTATGCATAGAAAAACGCTACAACAGCAGCACCAACGTGGCGAAGCAAAAGCGAGCGTGCAGCCCTCGCTGAAAAGGTCTCGTATCAACAGCATCAACACCATGAACCGCGTGTCCAAACACACGAGAGCCAAACTTCAAAACTCAGGCCACAAAAGGTTACGCAGAAAACCGAACACAACGTTGGGCGGAAGAAAATGGGCCCAGCCACGGAACGGGCGCGGGGCGGCACTATATTACCATGTACTCGTAGCTATAGAGAGCAGCCTAGCCACAACAGCAGTCCGCAGCGCTCTAATCGTTGAGACACCGCAAGGTCGAAATGGGCGCGCAGCTTGACCATAACATGCAGCAGTGTTTTACGCATTGCTGTTGCAAGGCGCGTTCCTCGGAACTTGTTGTTGTGTAACCTTGAACTCGCCAAAGCCGAGCAGCTTGGTGTGTGCAGCAACAAACAGTGGGATACCCCGCGGTCTGCCTGCCCCTGTCAAGCCCATCAAAAGGACGTTCTTTCACACATCAACCGAGAAAAAAGAAAGGCCGCGAGGAAATGTCGGGGCTTGCCTCCCTTGGTGCCAAGTAGGGAATCAACGCAGCAGCTCTGCGGCGTGGCAAGACTAATGTCTGTGCGTGGGAAGCCTTCGCTCTCGTTGCTACACTTTCGATCGAAAATTGTTCTCCTCGGCCCTGAACACAGCAGCAGCAGCCACCAGTATTACGTACGTAGACGCAACAGCACATTCCAAAATCTTCCGGTGCCCATCGAGAGAAGTTTGGCATTCGGGCCTGTGGGCAGTGCGTTCCAAGACCCCCCGGCCTAAGGTACTGAACAGGCCAAACCAATGGCGCCATTCGAGGTGGCGCAGCCGGGATATGAGAGCAAGCAACCCTTGCATGCGCATGACCGACTGCTGCTGCTGCTGGTGCCCGCCGGCGTTCTATCTATCTGTTGTTTTGCAAAGTTTGATTCGCATCATCCATCGACACATCTCCCCCTCTTGTTTCTCAAAAAAATAGCTCACCGAGAAGCGTTGTGACCAGATCAAGCACGGCGGAGTGCTTGACGCGCAAGGTATCCATGGGGATGCGGTACGGGCGAAGGTGAAACCTGAGCCCGGGTGGCCATCGAGGGTAATGACGATACGCGCATAGCACACGCACACAAGCACAGGGGGGAGCGAGACAGAGAGGCGACCTTGAAAACGACAAACAGTAACACCACAATTCCGGCAAACAGGCATCATCGTATTATTGTTGTCCCACTCCCGCCGCCACATATGGTGGTCTTCGGAGGGTCTAGGCAGCAAGCCCGCCTACCGTGGTCGACGGTGTGTGTCGAGAGGAGAGCGTGGTGCACATTGACATAGGGGGAATCTCTGCTGTTTCTTGCTGCTGCAAAGAAATGCAGGCCGCAAGCAAACCTTCATCGCTCATCATCTTCATCTATACGTATGATTTGCTTCGCTCACTCAAGAGTGTCCTTGCTTGGTGGGCAAGCGCCGCCGATCGAACAGGTCTCCTCCGGCTCTCGCTCCTCCTGCTTGGAGACTCCTGAAGTGATCATACCCTTAGACACCATTTGTACGACGGGTGTGGATGCTCTCTCTCTCTCACTTGCACTGCGGGGCAGCAGGAGGAGGGTGGTTGATTGCAATGATGAGGGCAATGAGGGAGAGAGCGTTGAAGAACAGTTGTGGTGTGTATGTATGTATGTGTTGGTATCACAAAGCCCCCGGGGACAAACTTTTCCGTTTCACCGGAGGGAGAGATGCAGACTTTACTTGCTTAAACAGTGGCAATGGAAGTACATTTAGAGAGTTGGAACACAATTGCTGGCGGAAGTTGCGGTCGGACGGCTGTGCCGTTTCGGAGGGATAATATCCAAAAAAATATATATCTACTCTGCTGATCACATCAATCAATCTACACCACTAGCTACACTGCTGTACAGC